TGAACTAGTTTTTCAGCGTCACTTCTTCCTTTCATTAAAATCACAATCAATCTGAGATTCACATCCTCTTGTCATTTTTTCACTACGCAGAAGAGAGACCCCCCCCCCAAACTTATCCTGCTCTTTAAAAAGTCACGAAGAAACTTCAATCAGTTCTTTAACAGCAATCATCATTTACTTTGTCCCACACTGCAGCCTCTCCGTCACAGCTGACCAGGTGCAAAGTCAGCTGAGGCAGATGAAAACCAGGAAGGCCACGGGTCCGGATGGAATCAGCTCCAGACTATTGAGGGACTGTGCAGATCAACTCTGTGAGGTTACCACATCCATCTTTAACCTCAGTCTGAGCCTGGAGAGGGGCTGTCAGACTCTATAATGCAGCTCAACATTCTTTGATCATCTTACTCACCAGCTTGTTTGTTTACTGCACATTTAATACATAGCTCTGTGCATTGTTACCTAAATATACGAACTTCAGTTGTTTATGTATATAGGAACAGTTTGTGTCTTCCTTTTATATTTTATATTGCCCCTGCTATAAGAACTGTAACACTCACATTTCTCATCCGTGGGATAATAAAGGTTTATTCTATTCTTTTCTATTCTAAAAATACTTTGAAAGTATTTTTCACTCAAACTGGAATAACACAGAGAGAAGCACAGCTGTTCTTTAAGCCATTTTCATTCAGACAAAGTCAATGATGTCGCTTGCCAATGAAGACGAGCAGCAGCCCCACTATGACCTGTAACGCGGTGGACAGGGTCAGCAGCATGATGAGGGGGACATAGAAACGATACTGCGGACCCACATAAAGGATGGTCTTCAGCTGAGACGAGTTGGCCATGAGCAAGGCCACGTCCAACATGCTCTGAGCCGCACTCTTCTTAGTGGCGTAGTGATTCATGTCAATAGGTCGGAGTGCTTTTCTAGGCTGGGCCTGTGAGAGGACAGGTTAGGTACGAGAGCAGGAACACAAATGCAAAGTCAAATAACTTTTTACAATGTTTCTCTCTTTAACAGTGTGACGTCTCTGCACACGTGTCCACGCTTTTTTCCACACACGTTTAGTTACCTGTCCCTGGGGTGTGGCATTAAGGACAAAGGTAGGAGTGGCAGAATAACATATGTTGACTCACCTGAGCTAACATGGGCTAACATGCAAAGAGGTGTGGTTTTCTACATACCTGCCAACTTATCACATGAAAACATGCATGTGCAGAGAACAATTGAACTGGTCCTGTGTCTGAGCTGATAAATCCAGGTGACCGCCGCCATGTATCTCAGAAATACTGGGAGAAAGTTTCAACCAGCTGAGACATTTACTTAAGTCCAGCTGTGTAGCACAAGGGTGTGAGACGTCACACCGGGGTGCAGCCCTGTCTCAGCCCCAAAGCTATCATTCAGCTCTCTGTACAGCTGATGAGTGGAACAGACACTGGAGAGGGGTCGTTCCTATTTTCTCTCCCTGTTATCATGGACTTTAATAGCATAATGATGAAGTGACACTGAACTGAATCATTAATCTTTTTGTTTTTTGTGACTTTGTCATTCTGATTGTTCTTCGAGGTTGATGTGATGTCAGGGATTAGTGCTGCATGCTCAAACATCCAGGTAAATCCCAAAAGGTTGGTTGTGTTCACCTGGACGTTCTCAGTTTTCATCACTGTACAGGTTATCTTTGTTATAGCATAGCCTGCACATGCCTGACGTGGATCTGAGCATTAAGAGAACACATAGTTACTTTCAGCTACTTTAAAGCAGGTTCAGAATGCCCATCGCTAGCTTCACCACATAAATAAATCAGGAATAACAAAAGCCAAAGACATTAAGACGACACACAGCCCCAGCCTTTGTTAAATTTATCGGTAGGATTAAAAGAGACTTCTTAAGCTCACATCAAATACCTTAATTTTATTATTGAATCACAGTTCAACATGATCCTTATTTATCTCATGTTGGGCCTTTGTGTTCATCGAAGGTCAAAAATGAGCTGTTTTAGCCTTTTTGATCCACCTTTCTTTTGGCTCCTCAGAAACAGAAATGTAGAACATCATGTGGGTGAGACTAAAGTCCTGCTAGAAAGAAGCTACACCTGGTTCTATGAAAAAGCCCCATGTCTAAATGATCGGTGGGGAGAGAGCCACAGCTTTACTTTTGCTTCAGAAGTTTGGTCAGTTTGCCCCAAGACAGGATAAAAAGTTTGTTTTTCCCCACACAAGCTATAATTCCATATACAATTCTGCCGTTACCTTCAGTAACAGCTTCATGATGTGCCGACTCAAACTGGACAAACTTTAGGCATTTCAGCTACGAGCACCGTGGCCCCCGAGGGCAGAGAGGACGAGACAGGCTTGATGCTTACCTCTATGTCGCCCAGTTTATTTAGAGCCATGCCCTCTGCATTAAGCGTGTGCTCTGCCATTCTTCTTTCTGCTGCTGGAGTCTGTGCTGTACTGGCTGCAGAAAGACTCGAGGCTGGAGACAGGATCAAGTCTGGCTGCTCCTCCTGTAGGATTGTTAAGCAACTCCCACTGCATGCCTCTCTGTCACTTTCCAACACTCGTGCCATTCATAATACAAGAACTTTGAGCCCTTTAACTGAAGTATCTCATCTTTCTCAAATGTCTTGTCTTTTAATATCGCTGTACACAAATCAACACGAATCAGATAAGATAAGATAAGCTTTATTAGTCCCACACGTGGGAAATTTGTTAGTGTGATCAGTGTGCCGGCCTGCCTGCAGCAATGAGAAGAATTATACGTCCTTTACTGAGGTGCTCTGTTGGGTTCACAAGGGATTTTTTTATCCTTTTGTTCCCATTATGATGGATTCAGACCAGTTTACAGTTTAAAACCTAAAAACTGTCTATTTCTGTGATTAGAAAAGTTTCAACATTTCACCAAAAGTGAAGAGTTCAGCTGTTTTTAGGTCTCTTTAACCATAATAACATTTCTCTGCTCCTGATTTTAGATTTTTATTTATTAGACTGTGTTCCAATCTCATACTGGGCGTACGAGCTGGACAGACTGGTTTAGCTCCCCTCTGCTTTTGTTTCAGCCAGTGTCTTTGGAAAGGCTCCCCTTGTAAACAGGGTGGATGAGATAGCTGCTCCCTGTCACATGAAGCAGGCCGAGTAGAACTGTGTGAAATAGAGTGGCTGGTGGTCTGAAGGCTGAATATTTGAATCACACCCCTGTACATGAGCTTGAAACCATATATACACATGAGATATAAAACAAGGATAAGTTGAGCTCACGTTTATGTAATAAACCTTTGAACTACTGTTAATAATTGTGGCGTGATAAACAATGTTTTCATTTCTGCTTTCTTAACATGTAGTCGAGTGTTTAACAAAATATAGAATAAATGTGAATTTCACAGTACTCAGTTACAGATTAGGAGAGTAGATTTCTAATTGAATAGCAGTATATATGACCCAGATACTGATGACCCCTCATTCTTCCATGTTTGTTACTCTCCGAGCACCTAGACTGTGCCCTTGTTCTCTGGGGCGACTTCAGCTTTGGACTAATGAAGACGTGAACAAGCTCAATACAGCAGGAACTCGACTGTCCACCAGTTATTCTGTATTTATACTGTACTTTGTTACCCTGTATTTATACATGTGTAATGACGAAGTTGAATCCTAATAATCAGACAGTACATGAGTGATTTTGGTCTTTGCGACGCATGGCGCTTCCTTCACCCCAACTGTAGGGAACATACTCTCTTCCCACTCTGGTCTGGAGTACTTCCCAGCACGGCTGCAGTGAGATGTGATGTGACCACTGAGTGTAAAATGGTCAGTTTCAGTAATCATCATGAAACAAAGAAGCATAGCAACATGTTTAATGTCATCACTGATTTCTCCAAAAAAACGATGTAAAAACTCTCGACTCACCAACAGTGACACTTTCTGTTTCACACAACATGTCAGTCATGCTCAGATTAAACAGGGTGTCTGACTGCAGTGACCACACACACGTCTGTCCCTTACACGTCTGTCCCTTACACCTCTGTGAAACACGTCCAAGCTGTGTTGTCTCCGTCTTAACACCACCAGAGCCTCAGTGAATCTGATGAGTGCATCCCTCTGAATGACGTTATGAACTAAGCTGAGACAGAAAGCCTCCAATTCGCCCGATAACCTTCTCCAGTTGATCAGCTAGTGGAGAAAAAAAGAGGAAACAAATAATAAACAATATGTAAGAAACTCTAAATATGAGTGTTAAACTGACTTACGTAACGTGTGCTTCTCTCCTCGGCTCCAGTAGCGAGGCTGCGTTTGAAGCTGCTTCACCTCCTCGCTCACCGACTCAGAAGCTTCTGACACTTCCTTCAGCATTTCCAGCTCCTGACAGACGCACACACCAGAGGACAGAACACGTCACTATGTTCCTGTCCTACGAGCAGTGTCAGTTTATTAGTTACACCGACCTGCTATCAGGCCTGCAAACAGTCCGGACTAAATGAAGGTTCAGACTAACTGTTTCAGAGACGTTTGGTGGGATAGATTCAACACCTCTGTGAAACACGTCCAAGGTATCTGCTGCCACTACAACAACCCTGAATAAGCCATTAGTATGCAAAGCTAGGACCTGAAGAGGTTTCAGGTCAGACCAGGCTGTACAGCCGCCTGTGTCTGCACACCTTCCCATCAACGTGGCACCAACTGCTGGGTTATAAAAACAGAACGATCAAAACACCATTCAGTTTAAGGAGGAGGAAAATAATTTAGCTACAGAAACAGGTTTTTGTTTCTGGCTGTAAATGTATTATTTTTAACCGTGTCTTCACTTAGATCATCAGTGTCTATAGAAAGAGAACAGCTGGAAGCTAATATCTGAGTCTGTGACCGGAGTTTGGGAAAAGCTTCACGGCAGCCCTCTGACTGACAGCAGGTAGATCCCAGGTACTAGTGAGACGAAACAAAAGAGCAGAGTGTGGGCACGAAAACGAGAACAGACGCTGTGAAATGCAGGAATTCAAACAGTAACAAAACTAAAAGGGGAGTGTATGAGGTGCAGTCACACTCCCAGAATTAAGACACATCTCCATTTCTCTTCCCACTGTTGCCAAAGTCCTTGCTCATAGGGCCGGGGTAGGCAACTCCAGGCCTTGAGGGCCGGTGTCCTGCAGGTTCTAGATGTGTCCTTGATCCAACACAGCTGATTGAAATGGCTAAATGACCTCCTCAACATGTCCTAAAGTCTTCCAGAGGCCTGATGAACTAATCATGTGATTCAGGTGTGGTGACCCAGGGTGAGATCTAAAGCCTGCAGGATGCCGGCCCTCGAGGACTAACGTTCCCTACCCCTGTCATAGGGGGGTCATATGATTGTTGGGTTGCTCGGTCAAGTTCATGGTAAAGAAGTTTGAGTGTGTGCAAATTGCTATCGTAAAAACTGAAGCAGCAAACTTTGTGAAAACTAATATTTGTGGGTTTCTCAAAACATTTGGCCACGTCTGTAAATAAGAAGGTAAATGATTTGCTTTGCTTTCCCTCCACCAAACTCGGTCAACTGAGACTTTCCTCATTTGCTAATATTTAGTCAATGATTTAAGGGCAGCCCTAGAATGATTTAATGTGCAAGTCTCTGGAACTGTGGGTGTCCAAATGACACAGGTGTGACTTTAACAGAGTGGGCTTATTTGCGAGTACCGTGTTGCAGGCCAGCAGCAGCTGTTGGACCCTCTGGAAGACTTCTGTCTCTGAGCTGAAGCTGGGGGGGTCTCTGCTGCAGTAAACTCTCAGGTCTGTCTCATAAACATGGCTGAAGGTGGCCATCAGTTGCTGGAGGTCAGACGCTGCTACACGCAGTGAGCTTGGAGAGAAGGCGGGAGGACTCTGGGCCTCGCTGTTCAAGAATACACACTGAGGGGACGAAGCAAACGGCATGCTTTACCACCATGACAGTCACACATGTCAAACAAGATGTTTGAGCTTTCTGTTGGTGCTTTAATAAAACAGTTTCCCTTTTTTTCCCCTTGTCAGACCTTTGACTGCAGCTGCTCCAGTGCTGATTGCGTCGCCTGTAGAAGGGCAACAATATCTCCATTTTCTTCTCTGTTTGGCTTATAAGATGACTTTGTGTTCTTCCACAGAGCCCTATGAGGTACAGAAAAGAAGTCAGAGAGGCTTCTCACCTACAAACCAAATCAGAAAGAGTTGGGACAGTTTGGAAAACAAATAAAAAAAAAAATAAAAAAAAGGAAAGTAGTGATTTCTAAATTTCCTTTGACTCGTGTTTCATTGCAGAGAATATGAACACAAAATATTTCATGTTTTGTCCTTTTCTGTCATTCAGACCTGCAACACATTCCAAAAAAGGTTGGGACAGGAGCAATTTAGGACTCGTAATCACGTAAATTGGTTAAATATTGATCCGATTGGAAACAGGTGATGTCTAAGCAGCATCTGAGAAAGGTCTAGTCCTTTCTTGGAGTCTCTAGGAGCAAAGATGGGCTGAGGAGAAGCAGTTTGCAACAAATACGAGACAAAATGTTTAAAGACAATGTTCCTCAAAGAAAGATAGGAAGAGATTTGGATATTTCACCTTCAACAGTGCATAATAGAATTAAAGGATTCAAGGAATCTGGAAGAATTTCAGTGCATAAAGGACAAGGGCGCAAGCGTAAGCTGAACAGCCGCTCCGATCCCTCAGGCGGCACTGCATCAAGAACCGTCATTCATCCATAAGCGATATCACCGCATGGGCTCAGGACCGCTTTGGAAAACCTTTGTCAAGTACCACAGTATGTAGTTACATCCACAAATGGCAGTTAAAACTGTACTGAGCCAAAGGGAAGCCGTGTGTTAACAGAAGTGCCGTGGACTTCTCTGGGCTCACAGGCATCTGGGATGAACCACGTCACAGTGGAAACGTACACTGTGATCACATCAATAATTTCATATCAATTGGGTGGCAGTAGCTCAGGCAGTAGAGCAGGTCATCTACTGATCGGAAGGTTGATGGTTCAATTCCTGGCTTCCCCTAGTCTGCGTGCCAAATATCCTTGGGCAAGATACTAACCCCAAATTGCTCTCCGATGCATCCATCAGAGTGTGAATGTTAGTTAGAAAGCACTCAGAAAATGTGCTTGTGTGAATACACAAGTTGTTTACAGCACTTTGAGTGCTCAGAAGAGTAGAAAAGAACCAGTCCGTTTACCATCAATCACTGTTTTTTGGGAGAAATGGATGCTGTGTGCTCCGGACCAAAGAACAAAGTTACAAAGTCCTGCCTGCAGTCCTGACAGGTCTCCAGTCCAGAATGTGTGGTGACAACAAAGACCCCGTACTGTTGCCCAGCTTAAGACTTGTTTGCAGGAAGAAATGGGACAAAATGACACCTGAATCACTTCATCGCTCGGTGTCCTCAGTCTCTAAACGTCTTTTAAGTGACAACATTACAAAGCAGTACATGCTTTACTGTTCCAACTGCTTTTGAAATGTGTCGGAAGAACCAAAACTGGAATATGTGTTTATTTTGAAAACAACAATAAAATTCATGAAGAACACATTAAATAATGTGCTGTTGTACTGTTTTCAATATAATACAGGTCAAAGATCATTTAACGAAGCACTGTTTCAGTTTGATTTTACTTTAACACACGTCCCAACTTCTTCTGATTTGTGGTTGTACAACAGCACACAATGAATTCGATTAGGATTCACCAAGCATCCATGAATGAGTCTTTCAGCAATGTGTGTAAGAAGAGATCATCAGACAGCAAACATACTTGATGTGTGTAGGCCAAGGGTCAAATGCAGGACTGAGCGTCTGTGTGAGGTGCGGCAGATTCTCAGCACCAAAGAACTCCTTCAGCAGCAGCTCTCCATCAGCTGTGTGCACAGCAGACTTAACGCAGCCTGGGACGAAAGCTAAAAGCTGCTCCAGAAACTGAAGTTGCCGCCGCGGACTTGCATCACCCTTCAGAGATTAAACACAGAACCATGGATGTGTGATTACTGTTTGTGTTTATTGTGATGCTGCATGTCTGTATGTGTGAATCAATAACATCACTAACTGAATACAAACTCTCACCCTAATCAGGTCCACATCAGATGCTCGGCATAGCAAAAGTTCCTGCCCAAGAACAGCCATATCTGCTTGGACATAAACCACCACAGTTAGTGTCAAGCAGCAAAAACATCTGGTGGACTCTGTGCACAGCTACGTTACCTTTAGTCAGAACATCAGGCTCCTTGGATCTCACTGACATCGGCTTTGAACTGGTGAAGCTTGGGCTGATACTGTGAAGTGAACACACGGCCGAGTTCATAATGATGAACAGATTATTTGTGGTACATGAGCAGAGCTTCTCCTACCTGCTGCAGATCCACGCTAGTATGTCCGTGCGGTGCTGTGAGGGGGCGCACAGCAGCTGCAGCATACTGTCTGCTTCCTGCAGGTACAGACCTTCAACCAAGGGGCAGGACGCAGCCTCAACACACACACACACACACACACACACACACACAC